TACTGACCCAGTGGCCATGGAGGGGGGGTGGACGGTCTTGGGAATGGGCTTCAGGGCTGAAGGTAGTTGGCACAGTGCCTTGGGTCTCAGCGTGGGTGGAGTTGGAAGCTCCTGGCTGAGTGCTCTGAAAATTAGATTGAGATTTCTGGGCCATGTTGAAGAGCAGGGCAGGGCCAGTACCTGGATGTATTCAGCCCGCTAACTGCTTCAGTCTCTCCTGGGCACTTCCATGGCCACCTGGAAGCCTGTGGGTTTCTCCCGGGTTCAAGCTCCGTCCTTTGGCATTTGTCCTCTTTGTCTCCTCATCTGTGTTTACTGGTTTCTCTTGCTGTCCCAAGGGCAGGGCTCAGGGATTTGGTCTGGCCTGCAGCTGGAGCAGGGGGGTGGAGTAGGTTCTATGACAGTTGGGATTCCAGGAGGCCCAGAGGCTGGCCATGGCCTCAGATACCACGCTATCCCTTTGTGAGTGACTTGAGGGCTAGGGCTGGGGCAGGGGACTCAGCGTAGGGTCTGAGAAGCGAGGACTGGGTTAAGAGGGCATGTGCTGTGTCAGTGAAGGGACAGGCCAGCCTGGGGACAGGGATGGGCAGTGCCAAGTGAGGGCAGTTCCTGGAGTGCCTGAGATCTGAATTTATAATCCCCTCTTCCCTTCTGCCTCTTCCCCACCACTCCTCAGGATTCTTCTGATTGCACTTCCTTCTTTGACACCTTCTCCAGTTCTTTGTGTCTCCTCACCCCCTTGCTTCCTTCCTCCTCTGTTTCTGTCCCTCTTCATCTTCCCTGGGGACTCAGAGAACTTGGGCCTGCTCCCTGCTCCCCAAGACCTCCAGTTTGGGGCTGGGGAGAGGAGACAGAGCCAGCCTCAGCCTGACATGGAGGGAGAGAGCTCAGGAGGTGTGTGGGCACCCCAAAGTGTGTGTGTGTGTGGCCTCTCCTGCTGGAGAGGGGAAGACTCTTTCGATTCTTTGCCATACTTTTATGATGAGCTTTTGAGGGAAAATAAAGCCTTACAAATTTTTCCTTCCTCCCTTTCTTCCTCCCCCCTATCTTCCTCCCTCTCTCCTTCCTTCCTCCTTTCCTTCATTTGTTGTACTGGGGTTGGAGCTGAGGGACTCTCTCTTGCTAGGAAGACACTCTACCACTTGAGCCATATTCCCAGACCCTTTGTGCTTTTGGTATTATTTCAGTTAAGGTCTAGAGCAGGCTGGCCTTGGATCTTGATCCTCCTACCTAGGTCTCCAGAGCAGCTTCTAGTACAGGTGTGTGCCACCACGCTCGGTTTATTGGTTGACTTGGGAGTCTCACTAACTTTTTGCCTGGGCTGCCCTCAAACTGTGATCTTTTCAATCTCGGCCTCCTCAGTAGGGGATTACAGTCGTGAGCCATTGTGCCCAGCTCCTACAAACTTCTAAATGTTTTTAAACTAGTGCTGTATTGCTTTATTTTTTGTTTGCTTTGATAAGTGGTAGTGATTAGATTAGCCATCTTTTCAAGTGACGATGGACTTTGCATCTCTGTCTTTTTGAACAGGTTGTTCTTCCCCTTTTCCTGTCTCCCTGTTCAGTGCTGATCAGGGAAGAGAGCTCTGTAGTAGGGATATGAAAGGCAGTGCAGTTAGCAGTGATGATCTGAGACTGTGCGGCCCAGATTGGAAACATGGCTTTGTCCCTACTGGCTGTGTGTGAATGTGAGCATGTCATCCAACAGCTCTGAAGCTCTGTCTCCTCAGGTGTCCCTGGAGACAATAATACTTCACAGGGTTGTTGTGAGGACAAAATGGCAAATAACACATCTGCGCCCTAAGAACCCATGGTAAAAAAAAAAGGTCAGTTGAATCCTATGTACACTTCAGTCCCTGATTTTAACTCCAAAATTTTCTTTCTGTTATGGGGGTGTGACTCAAGGGTCAGAGCGCCTGTCTAAGCAAGCTTAAGCTCCTGAGTTCAAACCCCAGTACCACCAAAAAATTAATAAAGCAAACAAGTAAACAAACAAAAGTTTCTTTCTTCATCCCTACCTTGTTCCTGAGGCCGAGGCTCATATTCTTCCTTCCTTGAAATCCACATTGAGATGCACCACAGGGGAGGAGAAATGAGTTATTTTTGCGGGCCACCATGGATGGGCAAGTCATTGCTTTATTCATGCTTTCACTCATGGCTCAGTCTACCTAACAAATGTCAGAGGTCCTGTGCCAGGCTGTGGGGCTATAACAAAAACCAAACTGGATAGGATCATGAAACTCGAGAAGACTGGCAGAGAAAAATACTGAAATCATTAATCACGAGTCTGTGTGTGCGAGTGAAGGACCTTGCCCCCGGGAGCATTTAACACAGGCTATGCGGGGCTCAGGAGGAAGAGGATGGTGGGAAGGGAAGAGATGCAGTGGTGGTGGAGGTAGAGTGGAAGTTGGGTGTAGGACAAGGCAAGTTTGGTGGGCAGATGGTTGGAATTCAGCAGGGATTCAGAATAAGGTAAAAGGCAGGTTTTGGGTGGGGTTGGGGATGTGAATATGGGTGGGGTGGAGACTGGGATGCAGCAAAGCTAGGAAGAAAGATCCAGGCCACCAGAAAGCCATTCTCTCCCAGCAAACTTAGGAGATACACTGGACCCATCAGACCAGCTGTTTCTCTGGGAGGAGGACCGCGAGTTCATCCTGCGGGGCTGGTCTCTTGTCTTCATCACCCTGGCAATCCTGCTGGTGTTCAGCGTGGCAGATGGGCGAATGGCCCACCTGCAAGGCCCCTACACTGGCTACCTGGGATTCTGGACCAACTGTAGGAAGCACAAGTGTGCCAGTGTGGGCCAAGTCACCGGTCAGTGATGCCTGCACAAGCCAGGGGTCTCCAGATGGGTCTCTGGAAGTGACTGGGATGGAGGTCTCCTAGGAGTCTCATTGGGGAGGGCCTCAGGATGGGGGGGTCTCTGAGGATGCCATGGGGTGCTTTCTGAGTGACAGTGGACTTTGGAGTTTCTAGGAGGTGACTTGGGTGATGTGGGGGGTGATTTGGAGGGTGTTTCTGTCAGGACATTGTGGGTGTGTGTTCAGCGGCTCATGGTGCCAGTGGAGTGGCTGGGACATGGCCTGAGAGTGTGGGGATGACCTTGGGCATCTGTCCCCTCCCCCAGTTCTCATTCACATGAGCAAGGGCTTCATGATGCTCGCCCTGGCCCTGTGCTTGGTGCTGCTCCCCGCCATGGTCATCTCTTTCCGCTCAATCTTCAGGCGCCTGAGCAAGATCGACTTTGTCTGCAGTTTCCTGAGCATCAGTGTTGGTAAGCTGGGCCCTCTCTTGCTGTGTGGCTTATTGACTTCCCTCTTTGGTTCAGACCCACATGTGGGGTCCATTCTCTCTCCCAGGGTCTGTTTCTTTGTTCCTTCCCTGCTCTCTAGGTGTCTGTCAGTGTGTCGTGAGTGCATGCGTGTGTGTGTGTGTGTGTGTGTGTGTGTGTCTGCTGGTCATGGAGGGTGGGAGAGGAAGTCTGTCCCTCTTCTCTTACCGGGGGTCACAGAGTCACTGTCCAGCCTCCTGTCTGTCTCTGGCCCCATCCCTTTGCAGGGCTCCTGCTTCTCCTCAGCCTGGCACTCTTTGCAGTCAACTGCCAGAGCCTGCACCCGAAGCCCCAGGTGTCCTACCTGGTGACCTTCTACCTCTGCTTGTGCGCCAGCTGCTTGATGCTGTGGGCAGGTGAGGGCCAGGCCTGAGAGAAAGGGCAGGGCCTTGCCGGGCATGGGGCGGAGCCTAGGGTGGGTGGGCGGGTCTTAGCCGAGCTGGGGGCGGAGCCCGGGGAGAAAGGCGGGGCTGGACTGGAGGGATGGGGCGGGGCCTGGGGAGACACTGGAGTGCAGCGCCCACCCCGGCCCCTCCCCCAGGAGCCCTGTCCTACTTAAACCAGGTGGGCTTGTGGAGTCGAGGCTTGCGCTTCATGGAGCAGCGGCTGAGCTTTCGCCGCTGGCTGCGGCAGCAGTGCGCCCTGGAGCGCTTGTCCCAACAGCAGGTGTCGGGCTTTCGGACCCTTGATGTGCCCAGTTCATTCTCCACCCAGAGTGACCTTCAAAGCCCTCCAGAGAATAACGCCAGAGCTTCTCAGGACACCAACCAGTAACTGAGGCCCGACGCTGGGTCCTCTCCTTCAGGGTGGCTATGTTCCGAGACTCCACCTCACTTGAGGCTCTCGTCCCTGAAAATGGGCAGCACCTGAAGACAGGTGGCCCACCCGGGTCCTGTCCTTGTCACCTGGATCATCACAGGGCCCCCCATGCCAGAAGTCCGATGCTCCCCTCCGGTTCTGCCCCTTGCAGCAGACACTCGTCCTTGACCCATGTGAGCCATGGCAGCCTGTTCTACTGAGTCCTGAGTGCAGCTGGCTTGTGTGGCTCCATCCCTGGCCCGGCTACGCCCCGCCCCCGTGCCACCCTCACAGGCCTCGCCTCAAACCCCCTCCATCCTCTTGGCCTGGGCTGTACACATCCAAGCTCCTCTCCTGGAGGGATGTCCGGCCCCACCCTACATAGCCACTCCTGTCCCCAGGGCCAAACACTGCATCCAGCATTTGCTGAAGCCAGGACCTCGTTCGGTGCAGGTACCTCCCCAGGAAAGCGTGGCTGGCACTAACAAGCCTCCTCCCTCTTTCTGATTCCCCTCCACAATAAAGCATGGGTGATATCCAGTCACTAGTGCTGCCCACACTCCAAAGGGAGCAACTGACTCTCCCATTGGGTCCACTTGTGCCAGGGCAGGGTCTTCCACCATGAGCAAACCAGTCTGGCATCCCTGACTTGTCCCTTGGGGTCTGAGCCTTTCCTGCCTGTTTGCATGTCACAGCCCCTCCCTTTCCTCGCTTGCATGTGACACCTGCCAAGTTGGGACCAAGGAAGTTCTGACCTCAGTGGGAGGGTCCTGGACATGTAGGTGCAGCGCTTGGAAGGCCAGATAAAGTCAGAACATGACACTCACTGGATGCATATTCTCTTTTACTGGGTGAAGGGGACAGTGGGGGATTCAAGGGTGGGCCTCCATAGTATCCTTTATCCACTGCAAATACTCAAAGACTTTGGTGTAGACGGCAGGCTTGTTGGGGCTGCCACATGGGATGTGGCCCCAGGATGTGATCCCCTGAAATATTCCATCGCAGATCAGTGGGCCCCCTGAGTCACCCTGTGAACAGCAGATAGCAAAAGTGAGTAAGGTCTGCAGGCCAGGCCAGAGCCCACTGGCCAGCCCACTGGACTCCAGAGCCCACTCCCAGAGGATGTAAGACAGAGGCCAGAGTCCTGGCCCCTGGGGAAGGGAGGTCAAGTCCAGCTCCTGCAAATTGAGCTCAGAAGGAGCAGGAGCAGGAGCAGCAGCAGCTATGGGACCGACTGTCCCCTCAGGGATCGTATCCCAGACCTTGTCCAGGAACCTTTCCTGGACTAGACAGAACACAGGTGCTGCAGGGAGAGGGGGTGCCTGCAAGGTACCAGAAAGGGGAAGCAACTGAGGCACTGGGGGCGGGGCTACAACAGGGCAGCCTTGGATCAGATGCTGGGTAAGATTATCTCTCAGAGACCAGTTCCTAATCCCAGTCCCTTCCCCCAGCCCTCCAACACCCAGCAGGGAGGCTCTGCTTACCACACAGGTGTCTTTACCACCTTCCAAGTGCCCAGCACACAGCATAAATTCTGTCACCTTCTGGGGGTGGGCTTTGTCACACACTTCATTAGCCAGGAGTGTCTGATCTACACACTGGATATCATCTGGGAACTGGACTGCAGTCCAGGGAGAAAAAGAGCAGTGGGCTGACCCCAGCTGGGTCCTCACCCCTCCCCTCCTCCCCCAGACTCCAGGTGTCCAGACTCCAGGCTGCCCTATCTGACCCACACATACATTTTTCTGGTTCAGTGCTGCCCCAGCCTGATGTAAGGCAGGTGCTGCCCTCCACTGGTTCCTTGGTGGGGAGATCCAGGAGCTTCACGGAGTCTGTGATCTGAGCGGGATGCTTCAGTCGGAGCAGCATCAGATCATGGCTGTAGTCCTCGTCTGGGTGGCGGGTGTTGTTCTTCAGGAGGCTCAAGTTGAAGCTTGGGTGTGGGAAGTCATCACTGACTTGGACGTACTGAGCTTCGGTTTCATCATCAAACAGATTGTGGCGACCCAGCCAGAGTTGGTAATTGCTGGGATGGACAAGGATGGAGAGAATGAAGAGAGAGGACTTGCTAGGGCTCTTGGGGCAGGGAGCACAGGTGATGGTCCCCAAGAGAGACAGACAGTAAATGAGGAAGAATAGACAGAGAGGGAGAGGGAGGGAAAGAAGGATGGGGAGAGAAAGTGAAGGGGAGGGGGAAGAAGAGGGAAGGAGAGGAGAGGAAAAAGACAGCAGAAGGAGAAGAGGGGTGGGACAATGCACATGAAAGGCAGACACAAAAACTAGAGTGGAAAGAAAGAGCTACAGGGATGGATGGGGAGAGAGGCAGAAGGAACAGAGCGGAAGCAGACAGCAGAAAGGAGACAGGACAAGAAGAAAAGGCAGAGACAGAAAGACAAAGGGAGGACAGGGGAGAAAAGTCCAAGGGAAGAAGTGGGAAAAAATTGGGAACAGGACACAAGAAGTAAAGAGGGAGAAGGGAGAAAGAGATGGAGGGGGAGAGAGAGAGAGAGAGAGGAGAGAGAAGGAGAGAGAAAGGAGAGAGGGTGGAATGGTGCAGGGCAGGAGGTGGGGTGAGGGCCTGAGAGCTGCTCAGCTGCAGTGGAGCTGGGCAGAGGGCTCCCCAGCAGGAGGGCCTGGCCAGAAGCCCAAGGTCATGGCTCCTCCCTCCCCAGCACCCTGCCTTCCCCTCCCCTTTAACTCTTCTTCTTTCTCCCTCCCTGGTGAGTTGTTCTTTCCCAGCTCCAGCTACTCCCAGCTTTCCCTGTGTTTCCCTAGAGTGGACAGAAGGGCCTGCAGGGAGGCACCAAGCAGAGGGAGAAGTGTCCTTCACACATACACAGTTTGGGCCTGTCCTTCCTTTTCTATCAGGTTTCCCACACTGCATCCCCCTGGTTCATCCTGGAGTGTGGTCGGTAGTGATGGAGGAGGAGTGTGAGACTGAGACCCAAAGAGAGAAAGATGGTCAGAGACATGGATGGGGACACATACAGTGGTGACAGAGGGCCACAAATATATCCACACAAGGACAGAGATGGGGGCAGACCAAGAGACATGGAGAGAAAAGGAAGACAAGCAAAAACACATCATGGAAAGACACAAGAGGCAGACACAAGAGAGACAGTAGCAGGAGAAAGTCCATGTGGCCAGCATGGTCCTGCCTCAGCTCTTCCCCTCTTTTCAACCCCACAAAACTCCATCATTCTTTTCCCCTGATCCTGGCCTGAGGTCAGTCTGGAATCCTGCTGGCTGCTCTCTCCTGGGGAGCCCTGTGCCCTCTTTCTCAACCCCCAGTCCCTACTCACTCGCTTTTGCAGTGGGCAGCTGTGAGTACCCAATGGGTGCCCACCAGGACGCCCCCACACTGGAAATTGCTGTAATGGTACACAGCTGCCTGCCAGGGGTGGGAGTTCCTCTGACACTCTGAGCCTCCAATGATTCGAGACTGGATCGGGGGAGCAGCACCTGCAGAAAGGTCAGGGGGAAACTGGACTCTGAGAAGGGTTGAAGTACAGAGAGGCATTAGGCCAGGGCTGGGGTCTGGGCATAAGGCCAAGGGATTTGTGGAAGGGTCTCAAATCCAAGAGGCTCCCATGGGCTTGCAGGTTGAGGCCAGTCCTGGGTGGGAGATATATGCTCTGGGGACAGAGCTGACCTCAGAAGTTAGGGTAGGGGATGCCCAGGCAGCATCTGGAGCAGTTGTCCACTCAGTAGGTCGGTCATGAGGGTCTTAGGCTGAGGGATGGGAGGTGGGTTGTTCAGAGACTGAAGGATTCCAGAAACCAGGGAGAAGGGCTCATGAGAGAGGATCCAGGCTGGGAGAAGTCCAATTTGGAGGCTCAGGTTTCCTAGGCTAGGGAAATGTTAGGGCCTGGGCTGGGTTTTTGGGGTTCGGGAGAGGATGAGGTATTAGAAAACTAGGTCTGTGTGGAAGAAGGCTGTGGAAAGGGGAGTTTAGGGTCTCTGGTTTGGAGTGGTAGTGTTAGAATTTTGGGATCATAGGATAAAGAAAAGAAAGAAAGAGTTAAAGCTGGGGTGAGCTTCTGAAAGCTTTTCGGGGGGGGCTTCTCATGTTGCAGGAAGGCATCCATGGGGGAGGGGCCCTGAGAACAGGGTTGTGGTCGGTACTAGGATGGGGCTCAGTGACAGTCATTCTGGGCTAGGGTGAGGGGCGGACCCTACTGCTTGTGGGGATGGAGTCATGGTCTGAGGGAACTGGAGAGATTTGGGGGTCTTGGGGGCATTTTCAGACAGGCAAGTAAAAGGAGTTAAAACAGACCAAGCCATCATGGATATCAAGTGATGTGGGGTTGTAAAATCACAATTGGGTCCTTGGTAGACCAGGCATGATGGCCTGCCTGTGAAGGCATTCAGGATACTGGGTAGGGTCCAGAAAACCACAGGCTGGGGGAAGGGGCTCAGGTGGAAAGGGGATGAAGCTTGTGGCAGATGGAAATTCTGTAAGGACAGAGGTCGGGGTGTTTTTTCTGGGAGGGAAGACTGGGCTACTGACTGGAGTGGGGGCAGAGAGAAGGGACATTTGCATATCCCCATGTCAGGATGAGAGACCCTTGTGTCTCCTGCCAATTTGTTTGAGAAACAAACCCCTACCAGGATTGTGTGGTGGAATTTGGGGGACTTGGGAGGAAGGGGGGACAGGCCGCCTATGTCTGCAGGACACATCTGACAGCTGGGGGGAGAAAGTCACTGGGTATGGAGGACTTAGGCCACTGAGACACATAAAAATAGAGAGTTACAAGGGATGATCAGGGTCCCAGGGCTGGGGATTTCTTGGAGGAGGTGGAGAACCCCAAAGAGAGACAGAGATGGCCCAGGACCTTCCCTTTTGGTACTGGCTAGAGAAGAGGAGGAAGTTCTGAGGCAGGTGGGCAGTCATAGGGATGTGATGTCCAGGGAGGGCTGTGACAGTGAAGAGCTGCAGGAGAGAGAAAGAGCCTGGTTCTTGGTCTAGGGTGGACTGTGGACTGGAGGGATGAGGCCAGGGAGCTGGGTGGGAGTGGAAGGACTTACAGGGGTGAAGGAAGGATGAGAATCAGGGCCCCCACCACTGCCCACATGCCCCCCACTGTCTTACCAGTCCCCCCCAGGGACAGGGCAAGGCACAGAAGCAGGAACCACATGATGTCAGAGATGTCCAGTGGTGGGCAGGCGGGCGGTGAGCTAGTAGCTGGGAACCTCCTTGGTGAGTCTTTAAAAGTCCTCATGCCCCCAGAGCCCCGCCCTTGCCCTGCTGGCACCTGATGCTGGCCAGGGTCCCGCCCTTGTCAAAGGAGGCGGACTTTCCCCCAACCCCCAGCTAGGGAAGGGGAGGGAAGACCTGCACCTGTTGTCCTGCAGGTCCTGGGTCATGCTGGCTGTATGCCCAGGGCTCAGGCCAGGTGGGGTGGGGCCTGTAGCTCCTGGGGCCTTGCTCTGGCCCATACAACCAGCAAGACTAAATGGGAGTTGGAGCACTATAGAAACAGTGGGGTAAAGGATTAACTGACATCCATTACAAAGTTCCAAGAATGGTCCTGCACCTCAAGATCTAGGGTCCACTCCAATACCAGTGGTGACTGCTGAGAGCAGGATACCAAGTTCTCAGCTGTAGCTCCCCCTGAAATACAAACCTTGGCAGTCAGAATTCTGTGATTGTGAAACTCTTAGACCGAGGATCTAGAGATCCAAATTTATATAGAAATATGGGGTACTCATTATCGCATTTGGAGCACCCTGTGATCTAAGAATATGAATTTTCAGGAGTCACCAAGGGTAAAATTCCTAGCTTTTTAATGTTCACTGTCTCTCCAAACAATGTGAGGATCACAATGACCCTTCCTGTTCCCCAAATATGTGTGCTCAAGGTCATGTCCTTTTATGTGGAAGAGATCTGGATTAACTCCCTTTCCAGATCGAGATGATCACCACAAAATCCTATTACTGTCCCCATTCACCAACATCATATGTAGATGTCAAGGACCAAGTTCACGTGTGTCACCATTCAGTGAACTTAAAAATCACACTTTGGGGTCTCTGAAGAGAAACAATAGCTAGATTCCTCTAGGCTCAATGTTTTTACCATAGGCTTCCAACATGTGATTTTGGGCTCTTTGGTAAAATCAGAAGCAGCTCACAAGATTCTTGCCTCAGGCGTGTGGCTTGAGAAATGAAGAGGATTTGTCTGTGTGACTTGGCTGTCAGGAAGCCTGGAGCTCAATGTGGAGGATAAAGAAGTCACCCCTGGGAAGGCAGTGCATGTGGATCCCTCACACTGGGACTCGAAGTATTTACAAAGTGTCAGGCGCTCATCAGTCACGTGAATTGCCTCATTTAATCCTCACCACAACCCAGCAGGCAAGAAATATCATTATCCCAAATTTACAGATGGGAAACCAAGAATGAATGAGGCTGGACCCCTCATTTGGGTCACACACGTGTTCATATGTGCTGGACATATGACCTGCATGAAGCCATTCCCCCACAGCCAGGGATTGGGGTTGTGGGTGAAATGGAACAGCCTTCCCTGTCTCTTGGTTCCCCACCCAGCCTCCAGCTCTCATCTCCCTTCATCTCCAGAAGAAAGTCACAGAAATTCCCACAGAGAAACTTGGGTCAATGTACTCGTTATCTCGGTGTTAACCAGGCGACCCTGAACATCAGCTTTGACTTGGAGTGGGTGTCAAGTGCTTGAGTAAAATCAGGGGCAGTGGTGGGGAATGACCCAATTCTGTACTAGGTGAGGACAGGGCTGCTGGCCAGCCATCGGGGATCCTGCTCAGGCAGGGACACAGATGGTAGACTAGTGAGTCAGTTGCTCTTCATGGTCTCCCTGATCCACTCCAAGTAGTGGCAGACTTTGGTGTAGACACCAGGCTTGGTGGTGGTGTCACAAGGGACATCACCCCAGGACACAATTCCCTGCAGGGCACCCTTACAGACCAGAGGTCCCCCAGAGTCACCCTGTGGAGAGAAGGGGGTGTCAAGATGAGTGAGAACTCAATTTCCCCATGCAAATAACTGTTCATATTTTCAAGTGATCTCCAATCCACCACCACCCTAGGCACTCAACTCAACTCAATCCAAGTTCACCCAAATCAACCCAATGAAACCCAAGAGACTCACCAAACCCTTGTCCAATCCCTTCCTCCTACACCCCAACTCAATGTAACTATAGTAAATTTGACTCAACCCAACCCAACCGTCTTCCCCATTCAATATCCAACTAACTCCATGCAATCCTCATGTTCAATGCAACCCATTCCAATCTGAATGTCCACCTGATCCCACATCACTCCAAACCCATCACCCATCTAAAATCAAACCAAACCCTTCCCTAATCTCAGCCCAATCCATGCTGTCCCAAACCAATTGCTGCAGCACCCACTCCAGATCCCAGCTCCAACCTCACCACCATTCTGACTGCTCTTGCTCTTTTATCTCCACACTGAACCCAAATGTCCTCTCTACCTGGCCCCAAGCAAACAAAATCCAAGTCAACTCCAACTCCCAATACTGTCCTGGTCCCCTCTCCTCCACCTGATGAATGGCCCCTCTCGGCCCTGACCTCACAGGAGTCGGTGCCTCCTCCCTGGACTCCTGCACACACCATGGTGTTCCCTATGCGTCCTGGGTAGTCCTTGTCACAGGATGCATCGGAGATAATGCTGATGTTGGCACAATGCAGTGTGTCTGGGAGATTCACTGGGGAGGACAATGGACTTGTTGGATATCCATACTGTTTGTCCCTTGTCCTCCCTACCCAGAAGCCCTGGAGTATGATAGGGTTTCTTGAGTCCTGATATCCAGATCTATCCTTTCACGTACCTTGTGACGTGGGGCTTCCTGTGGTCCCGGGCTCATTGTCTGATACCAGGCCCCAGCCAGATACCACACAGGCCTCGCCAGGGCGGGGACAGCGCGTAGGCAGAGCCACGGGGCGCACCTGGGGGGTCAGGTGCACAGGCCGCGCTAGCTGAAGCAACATGACATCATGGCGGTGGCTGCGCGCCTCATAGCGTGGATGGGGGATGACGCGAGATACAGACCGCAGTTGCTCTGGGCCATCGCGCTTGCGCAGGTTGTGCTCACCTAGGTGTACTTTCATGAAGCTGCATGAGTCAGTAGTTGCCCACAAGTGCAGAAAGGAATAGACAGAGGGATCAAAGAGTGGGTCCCCTCAGGAATTTTGAGATCCCACTACCCTTTCCCAAGACCCCAAAGTTAATGTTTCCAGGCCTTGCTCTCCAGGGACCCAGCTGTGTACACACTTGGAGCTCAACCTCCAGGATCTGGTCCTTTTTCAGACTCTGTAATTCTCAGATCCCTAGATCCTACAAAGGGCTCAGAAGATGGGACCTTACAAGCCTTCTCTTCCCTCCTTTGAGGACCTGAAAATTCAGACACACACCCCTCCCACTCAGGGCCTTGACCCCCAGCCCTCTTCCTCCTTAAGAACCCAGGAGTCTAGGTCCTGTGCCCATTCAAACCCAGTACTCCAGGCACCAGTGTTTGCCTCCTCTAAGTCTAGGTGTCCCTACCCCCAGCCATAACCCCCAAGACCCCCAAACCCTGCCTTCATACCGGGTTTGGCAGTGTGCAGCAGACAGCACCCAGCGTGGTGAGATGAGGGAGGCCCCACAGTTGAAGCGTCCATGCTCGAAGAGGGCCACTTGCCATGGCTGGGAGTGGGGCACACACTCCTCACCTTCCAACAGCTTGTCACCATCCTGGGCTGTTGGGAGAGGGGAGGAGAGTGCTTGAAGATAGGGGCCTTTTCAGTGTCCCCTACCCCTTCCTTGGACCCAGTTCTCACTGTCCTTTCTATCTATGCCCTCCCCCAGTCTCTTAAGAAGTCCCTACATGCCTGCAATCCTAGATACTCAGGAGGTGTAGATCAGGAGGATTGGGGTTCGAAGACAGCTCAGGCAAACAGTTCACAAGACCCCATCTAAAAATACTCAACACGAAAAAGGGCTGGTGGAGTGGCTCAAGTAGTAGAGCGCCTGCCTACCAAGTGTGAGGCCCTTAGTTCAAACCCCAGAGCCACCAAAACCAAAAGAAGTCCCTACCATTCATTTTGAGGCACTGACCTCTGGATTCTACAACTGCTGCCTGCCATACAGTGGTACACCCCTTGCTACAGGAACAGGTGGCCACATCGAACCAGTCATTCAAGGTCAACCGATTGTCACAGATATAAAGCCAGTGTGGTCTTGATGACACACAGCGTGGGTTCCAGAATTTGTTTATCTTGGCTAAATTCAGAGAACCATCCAAGACACTGATGTGACCACATAAGGTCACGACATCATCCATGCACAAGCAGTCTTCCAGACATAGGACAGACAGGGACAGCACTTGGAGCTGAAATTCTCTTGCAGCTTCAAGAGTCACTGCAGAGATGCTGATATGGGTATGACAATGTGAGTCGCTACAGCAGGAACACGTGCACATGCATGCTCACAGTTCACAGCGTCCAGTGTGGGTCCTGGCCTCCAATGTGAGGGACGTGCAGGTTCCCACACAGGGTCTGGACAAGGAAGGTCAGTTAACCCTACAGTGAGCAAATGACTTGACCTCGCTGCTTTCTCATCTGTGAACTAGGGATGAATCTGTAAAGGTGAAATAAGACTGTGTGTGTGTGTGTGTGTGTGTGTGTGTCCATCTGTGCATGTGCATGGGGAATCACGCCTGGCACACTGCAGCTGCTTAATAAATGTTAGCTATTTTTAATAAAGGCTTTATTTATGGGGCATACATGTGATATTCAGGTTGTGGGCACACACATAGCCAAAAAAAAAAAAGTTAGATACCAGCATAGATCCAGATATAATAGTCAAGGTCAAAACTGTGGTTTATCTACAGGTCATGTTACAGAAGTCAAAGTTCCAGACACCAACCTAGAGGGCCACAACACTCAGATGTGGACCCCCATACAGGCTGGGCGTTCAAGGTCAAAGACACATAGTTGGATACACAGACAAGGGGGACAGGACAAATTCATCATCAGATCAGCCAGATCACAAGGTGTTTAGGGTCACTCATTGGGTTTCACATACGGGGACTTGATTTGTGCATGCGGACAGCACGTGGACACACACACGCAAAATGGCATCATACATAAGGACATCGTCACAGGATTACTACGCTGTGCAATGTGGATGTGGCCTCAAGTTCACAGCCATGCCCACAGACACCCACACTGGGGACGGATTGCACCAAATACTCCCACTCTGCCCACCAAGGTCAGGAAACAGGCCAAAGGCACTGGTGAGGCAAGGGAATGCGGATGTGGCAGGTGAGGGGCTTAATAAAGGAAGGGTGAGGCCGTCCATGGGGAAGGGCAGAGGGTGCCGGCTGAACAGCTGGGCTCCGGGCTGCACCTGGCCAGTCCTAGCTGGAGAGGGCACAGGCCCCAGCTGGGTGCAGCAGGCAGGTAGGACGCAGGGAAGAGGGCACAGGGAGAGCCCGAGGGGGCTGGAGACATGGGGGAGGTCTGAGGGCTCCAGGGGCCAGAGTCATGTGGAGGCAGGAGGGGCCTAATGAACGGCTACCTCCACCCCCCCACCTCATCTCTCCAGGGCAGAGGCATCAGGTTACAGTTAATTTCTCCTTGATCTGGAGTTCACCAGCCATTGGGGTGACCTTGACTTAGTGGCCATCCCTCTCTGGGCCACAGTCCCCTTCCCTTGTCAAATGAAGGCTATGGTGGCCACCTCATGTGAACGTTGTGAGAAAATTCGAAGTGCCACACCAGGCACATCCTAAGCACTCAGCAAGGCTTGCACACTTCACAGGGCACCAAACTTAATCCTCACAATAACCTTGTGAGGGGAAGGGTGTTCCATCGTACAGTTGGGGAACCGGACCTGCAGAGATGTTGAGGGAATGAAAGTGGCAGAGGCAGGATTTGAACCCGGAGTCTGTGCTGTTGGTTCTCAACCCATGTTGAAAGCTTACTGTGTGCATTACATATGCTATTAAAACCTCACCATTATTACCCCTGTAGGTGCTGTCTTACAACAGAAGGCTCAGAGAGGTAAAGCAGTTTTCTTGAGGTCACACAGCAAGGAAGAGGTAGCCTCTGAACTTAAACTTGGGTTTGTGTGATGCCAGAACTGTGTTCACTGTCACAGGCAGGGAGAGGCCCCAGGTGGCACCTCCAGAGCCCCTGATGGGGGCTGGTGGAGGGGCTCAGGTGTTAGAACACATGCCTAAAAAGCATGAAGGTATGAGTTCAAACCTCAGTACCGACAAAAGAAAAGAAAAGAAAACAAAACAAAACAATACAGAGGACCTGATGGTTCTTAGGGTGGGGTGAGGAACTAGGGATGGTGGCAGGTGACACAGGTGGGGATGACAGTGAGCGTGGGGATCGTCAAGTGGTTTCTGGGTAAGGCAGGGGCTGCGAGGTCCCAGGCACTCTAGGGAAGGGAGTACCACACTCCCACAGACCCTGACATGACCTCAGTCCCCCTCACCTGCAGACGCCAGCAGGAAGAAGGTGAGAAAAGCCACATTGTTGAGGAGGGACCAGGGCTCAGTTGAAATCTAGGCTGGAGAGAGTGAAAACTGGAGTGAGGTTGGGCCCTTTTGTCCCTTCCCATATCATGCTCCCTCCAGACACAAACTCTGCCCTCCGACCCGACCCGCTACTTAAGAAACTCCTCCTCACCACCTTTCCCTCCCCCCACAACCCCCACGTGGGTCCCCATCACTGGAGAGTCCACTGTCCCTCTAGCCACCTGGCAGACCCGTGTCCCCAAGGCCTATCAAGCCCCAGCACCATGCAACAACACCATCCCCCTGAGGCAGGCCTTGTCTCAGCCTCCTTCTGGGCCTCCTGGTTCTCTCCAAGCCAGCCTGCCCCCAACCCCAGACCCCAGAGGGTTTTTGAACACCCCAGAGCTGCCTGTGCTCCTCCCTCCTCACAGCCCTCCAGGGACCCCTAAGTGGCCCCAGAATAAAGTCCCAGCCCCTCGGCCACCCTTTCGGAGACATGAGTGGATTCTCCCCTTCCAGCCTGTCTGGCTTGGTCTTCCATGACCTTTTCGTGGCCATGGCCAATGCTGCCAATTTGCCTCTTGCAGTTTCCTAACTCCACACTTTTCTCAGGCTGTTCCCTCAGCTGCTATGCCCTTCCTTTCAAGACCCACCTCCTCTTTCAGGCCTTTTCTGACCCACATCAGAGCGGAATGCCCCTCTGAACAATCCCTGTCCGACTTAACTCTGAATCCCTAGCACTGCCCCGCCATGGGAGGAAGCCTTGTGAGGCATGGGAAGTGAATTAAAAGACGGCCCCTCATCTTCCAAATTTGTATTTGTCCTGCAAGGCTCAGCCCCCCTCTTCTGAGGGAGCCCACTACTTAACAGGTGCCTTCTGGATCCTATAGGGCCCATCCTGTCTCCATTATGGCATAAATCCTGAGGTCTGGCCTCTTCTTGCTCCCCAATCTGGGCCCTTGAACATGGAGTTCGGGTCTGGTCTTGTCGGTGTCCCCAGCACTGCCCGGCCCAGGGTCTGGCATAGGGGCAGCCTTGGAGAGGCTGTTCTGAACCAACTTGAACTGTGATAACTCCTGACCATGTCCTTGGCTCTGGAACAAGTGTCTTCAGGGACATCCTCCTGATTCCCCTCCCCGCCCCCACTAGAGCACCTTCTAACAGCTCTGGAACATTTTCTTGGCTCAGGTTCAACTTGGAGCCATAGTAAAGGACACATGGACTTACCTAGTGCCCTTGCCACTCAGTTCTCCCAGGGTTGTCTGTGTCTCCCCCATAAGTCTGGGGCATTCCATGTTTCCCCCACCCTCACCACCTTCCTTCCCAAGTTCTTTCTCAAAGATCTCACCCCCTTCAGATCCTCCAGCAGCATCTCCAGGAGTTCGGATGCCAGAAGAAGGGGACAGGCACCAAAGTACCTGAATTTATAAGCTTCTAGCCCCACCTGGGTCTGGGGGTGGGGTGGTGTAGGGTGGGGTGAGAGGTGGCTCAGAGTCAAATTTACAGGCTGGACGCCAGGGTGGCTGGTGGGGCGGGGGACTAGGTCTAATAAGCATTTATTAGGCTGAAGCTATTGTCTGAGTCTGTAGGGTAACATCAAAATACAGATCCTGGAATTTGGGGTGTAGGGTGTGAAAACCGGATTCTAGAGTCTTACTTCTTGTGCTGTCTTTGGGGCAGGATTTGTTTTTCAGTTCTGGATTTGGGGAGGTCTCGAGTTTGGTGTTCATGACTTGAAGTCAGGAATGTGGATTTCTGAGTCTGAATTCTGGGCTCTGGAATCTAGCTCCTGAGATGTGGCTTTCAAATGACCTTTGAACTCTCAGGCTTGGATTCTGGATCCTGGGCCTTTGAATCTAAAATTCAGACTTCGGTCTGGTGTTTGGAACCTTGGATTTGAAGTCAGAACCCTTGCATTTGCTGTGGGAAGCCTGCAGCCTGGAATACAAGTAGATTTTGGCTTTTGGCTTTGTGTGTGATTCTAGAATCTGGGTCTAGACTCAGATTCAGAATGTGAATGGAACTTGAATAGCTGCAGATTTAAGAGAATGGACTGGGAAGATTCCTGGCTTCCAGGATTCTGGGATTGCTAGAACGTAGCATAGGAATTTAGAGACGGAGAGCCTGAGGTCTCTACTCTGGATTCTGTGGTCTTAATTCTGGGCTCTGCAGTTGAAATCTGGCCCCTGCATTCTGGAGCCTGGAGATCATCACTAAGATGACTCAAGGTTTCATGTATTTGAGGCAGGCTTCTGGTGTCTCAGAACCCCAGAGGGCCCTGAGCAATTGTCCACAGCCTAGACAATGACAAGGTCCCCAGAACAGGAAGGACTTATCTTAGGCCATGCAGCACCTGTCATAAGCACGGTCCCTCCCTGTGTCTGGAAAGTCATTGTTTTTATGGGAAGGGCCTGCCAGACTGGAACTGCCTGACCCAGGAATCTCCAGTACACTAGGCTTTCAGATTTAGGACTTTGGACATCTACAATCCTAAATCTACAGCAGGCATTCTGGATGCCCAAGTTGAAAGTATTCTAGAACTTCCTTGGACCACAAATTCAGCCTCAATGTCTCTGGGCCTCACATCCCGTTTACGGAATGCTGGCTACAGGCCACCCCAGCACACTAAGGGCTCCTTGCATTACCTCTTATCCCCAACAGGCATAGGTGCTTTTTATGGTTTCCTCCTTACTGTGGAAGAAACCGAGGCCCAGAGACGCAAGGCACAGGCAAAGGTCATGCACGACACAGATCAAGGAGGAAAGGGATTCCAGTATTCTGATCCCAGGAACACCAGGTTTGCCGGTTCCTCGCTTCCCCGGCCACCTGACTCTGTTGGAGCACAGTGGTGGCCCGGGGAAGGTGAGCCATTAGGGTGACAATAACGAGGGCTTCCCGTTGCCAGGTCTGTGCTAAGCGCTTTCCGTCGCGATCGCAAGTGCTCCTACCAGCCCACGCAGGCAGGTACTGACGGGGTTCCGGTGGCACAGAAGGGGACACCAAAGAAGAGCCCATCCCAGCCCCGGGCAGTCTGAGGCGCTCGGGCTCCCTGGGAGCGCGTCTCCCCGCCCCGCGGTGACGTCACACCCGCCTCCCGCCCCGCCCCAGCCCCGCCCCGCGCTGACGCCTCGCCCCGCCTCCTCCCCCTCCCAGGCTTGCTCCAGCCCGAGAGGATGAAGTCATTGCAGATGTCCTTCACCTGCCCTGGCTGGAGTCCAGTCTTCAGCAATGCTGCTCCTCCTCCTCTCTCCCTCCTCCCCTTCCTCCACCCATGCTCCTCCTCCACTCCACTCTCCTCCACCTCCTGCTCCTCCTCCTTCTCCATCCATCCTCCTCTCCTCTTCCTCCTCCTGCTCTTCTTCCCCTCCTCCTCCCCTTTTCCTCCACCCATCCTCTTCCTCGTCCTCCTCTCCCCTCTCCTCCTCCTCATCCATCCTCCCCTCTTCTCTTCCTCCTTCTCCTCTTCTCCCCTCCTCCTCCTCCCCTTCCTCCTCCACCCATCCTTCTCCTCCCATCCTCCTCTCTCCTTTTTCCTCTTCCTCCTCCCCGATCTTCCTCCTGCTTGTCCATCCTCCTCCATCCATCCTCCCTTCTCCTCCTCTTCCTCCTCCTCTTCTTCTCCCCCTCCTCCCCCTCCTCCCTTTCCTTCTCCACCCATCCTCCTCCTCTCCCTCCTCTTCCTTCTCTTTTTCCTCCTTCTTCCTCCTTCACTTCCTCCTCCCATCCTCTCCCCCCTTTTCCTAAGACTTTCTTTCACTCCTGTGGTTCAAGCACCAGACAGTCGGTTCTCCTCCATCTGACCCTGAACGCCAGCCTCTCGAAGTCACCTGCCCCTGCTCCGTCCCCAATGTCCCTGGAGCCCCTCTTACTCACCTTGCCCTAACTCATTTCTCTCCCCAACCACCCTGGGATAGCCCACTGGCCACTCAGTCCTAGGACTCCCTAGCACCATCCTTGCTCCTTCCCTCCCCTTCTGTCCCACAGCCCATCTGTCCCCAGCATTTTCCTTCAGCCCCTGCATCTCTCTGCCTAATGTTCTCCTCTCTGTCCCCTTGGCCTAGCTGTATCTCAGACGTTCTTCTCTTTCCCTGGTCTGTCACACCGCCCTCCTCTCTGTCCTGCCACCTGCAGTCTGCTGGTCACCACTTGGCCCCAGAAGGTCTGTCCATGTTCAGAACATAACCTGCCCCACCCCTGCTCACAGCCCCTTGGGGATGGCTCTGTCACAAGGTCCTGGCCCCTCAGTCCGGAGTTCTCTGCCATTTGGGATGCCTTGGTGGGAAGGTGCCTCCTTTGAGGACCTCAGGATGACTGTCTTTGCATTGGGTCCTCTCCGAGAGGGAGTCCAGCCAACGGAGTGTTCTAGGGTAACCTTATTCCACTGTGTAATGGTACCTTGGTTTCTCTTTCTTTCTTTCTTTTTATTTATTTAGTTTTTGGCCATACTAGGGTTTGAATTCAGGGCCTTGCACTTGGTAGGCAGGTGCTCCACCATTTGAGCCACTCCACTAGCCCATTTTTGTGTTGGTTTTTTTTTGAGATAGGGTCTTGTGTACTATTTGCCCTGGCTGGCTTCGAACTGTGATCCTCCTGATCTCTCCCTCTTGAGTAGCTAGGATTACAGGCATGAGCCACCAGTGGGTGCCTGGCCTCAACCTTTAAAACTGGATAACCAGAGGACCCGTATTGAATTTACCCAGGAATATGCAGTTCACGTAGTAAACGATGGCTTAACGTTAATTTTACCCGTTTTAAACATGAGCACATGGGGGGTCGTTCAAATCCCCAGGCTGCAGAAGTTGGGTAGGAGGGGGCTGAGAGACCGGTACCAGGGGTTCTGTAACCCCTGACAGCCCCTGTGGCATCTCAAGGGTCTTAAGTTGGGGCAGGTGGGAAGTAATGGGCCCTCACTGGGGTTAGATGAAGTAATACCTGTGGTGCAAGTGTGCAAATCATAAAGTCAGGCTGACGCTGGAAAGACCGGTTAACATACATGATTCACGTGTGGGCTCTGAGCGAGGTGGGCTGGGTTCAAATCCTGCCTCTGTTGTGCATCCTCAGGCATGTCGCTTAGTCTGTCTGTGCCTTGGTTGCCTTTCTATGAAGCGGGACTAGTGATTGCTTCTTCCTCTTTGTAGGAGTGTTTTGAGGCACCGAATTCTTGAAGTCCATGCTGGCTTCTCCTCAGCGCTGCGTCCTGCTGAGCCATTATTCCAGTCCTGTACTCTGGGCCAAAACCCAGGGGGACAAGTGGGTTTTTTTTTTTTTGGTGGCACAGTTGGAATACCCAGGACTGGGCAACGTCCTGTTTCCAGATCTCCTACCTATGGTGCCTTTCTCGGCATCCCTGAAGATACTTTATCAAGACCCTAGTTTACAGATGAGGAAACTGAGTTGCTGCGTCTTTGCCTATGTCCTGAATTCTCCAGTATCTTCTTCCTGCAGTGACACTGCCTGATTTCCCCATGCCTGTACTTCTGCCCTCTTTCCCTGTGACCCTCATTGTGCTCTTTTGTGAAAAGTCATCACGGACAAGTCGCCTGCCAAGCGGGGATGCTGAGCTTCAGAACTGCCAAGAATGACAGGGCTGTTGGGCCGGCCAGGCTCTGAGCAGGGGAGTCAGGGCTCAGCATTGGGGCCGTGGGAGAGTGATTGTGCGCATGCGCACGCGCGCACAGGTGATTGGTAGAGTGAGTCCGGATGAATGACAGATGGAGTCAGCCTACTGGGCCTGAGACCTACTAGTCTCAGGCTAGGACTCAGTCTGAGTTATGGTCCCCTCTTTTGCACTTTGTGATGGGTTAATTTCATGTGTCACTTTGACTGGACTAAGGGATTGGGTGAAACATTTTTTCTGGACGTGGCTCTGAGGGTATTTCTAGAAGACTTTAGCATTTGAATCAGTTGTCCTCACCAATGTGGATGGGCCTCATCCCTTTCATTGAAGGCCAGAAAGGAACAAGACAGGGGATGGGCACGGCCCTCTCTGTTCTGGGGCTGGGACACTCCTGTCCTTGGACACTGAGCCCCTGGTCCTCAGGTTGTGAACTTGGACTGGATGGCACCAATGGTTTTGTGGTTCTCTAGATGGCAGACAGTAGGTGGTGGGACTTGTTGCTCTCCATAACCATGTGAGCTAACTCCCATAAGAAGTCTCTTCTATAGCAATAGTGGCCTGTTGAGTCCTGCATTTGGAGAACGCTGACACAAACCCTCTCTTCCTTCATCAACCCCCCGCCCCCCAAGAGCTCAGACAATGAAAAGCTGAGTTCTGACCACGTCAGAGTTCAGATTCACATGCCCTTCCTTCCCTATCTGTTCCTCAAGGCCCACACAAGAATTACAGATGTCACCTACAGACAGCTCTTGGCTGGAGAGTCTCTCTCTCCCCACAACCTGACGTAGCTCCCAGGCCCCAACACTTTCTTCCTCAGGATAGAGGATTCACTCACATTACAACACAGGAGTCCAGACTCCCAGGCTCTGCTACCCAGAATCCAGCAGTCTTGACCCCAGCTTTCTCCAGCGTTTCTCCAGAACTCAGGAGTCTCACCCCCAGCCACATTCATTCAGGACCCTGAGCCCTGCCTTCCTGCCACATTGGCCCCAGCCAGCACCCAGTGTGGGAGATGCCTGAAGTGCTGTAGTTAAAGACTCCACATTGCAAAAGGTCACTTTTCAGGGCTGGGGATGGAGCAGGATCTTGTCATCACAGGATCTTGTCACCATCTGTGAGACAGGGTCCTTCTCCTCACCTGGTATCCCCTCACCATGCTCAGTTCTACTGGTATATGCTTCTCCTGTGCCTTCTTCCCAGTTTCTCCGGGAGTCCTTGATGTGTTTGTTAAACATGGAGAGAGAGAGAGAAGAGAGAAGAGAGAAGAGAGAAGAGGAGAGAAGAGAGAAGAGAGAGAACACTTAAGAATGGATGCTTTGGACATGCAAGGTGAGGTTTTAAGGAAGGTACCCAGGGGAGACACCAATGTACACTCAAGCCCCAGAGTTTGATTCACAGCCAAGGTCTGCAGTGTGGTGGTGACAACCAGAGTCTGTCCACCTGACTTGCAACAGCCCCTTTGAGTCTTTGACGAATTTATTTGGCCAGAGTATGTTTCTGTTTCCTCACTTGTGAAATGGGGTTTGTTTTAGGAAAATTGTGTGCCCGTGTGTGTACACACGTACATGACAATGCTGTCATACAGTAAATGCTTCATAAGCATTTGTTATTTTAATCAGGGCACATGTGTATCATGTGTATCATGGGACATTCATATGGATTTTCATGTTGTGGAGGGAAACATGGCCAAATCATACCAATTCACAGAACAGATAAAGACAGTCAAGACTAATACTGCGATCCATCCATAAAGCCTTTAGTGGTGATTCAGAATTGCAGATCCAGACCCCAGAGACCCGGCATTCAGATATGGACACATTGGGTCAGATTTCAGGGAACTCCCAGACACAGAGCTGGAAGGTGAGAGACACATCCTGGAGACCCAGGGGGCCAGGACAGGAAGTAATTCTCCATCTCTCGATCAGCCCCCAAGTCAGATTCTAGATGTGGAAGATTTCCATATGGGACATGGTTCACCCATGTGGGGATAGGGTGGACACACAGAGACTTGAATCCACACACACACACACACACACACACACACACACACGACTGCACTATGCCCATGTGTCACACTGGGGTTCTTCAAGATCAAAAGGTCATGATTTTTTACCTTGTGATAC